AATAATAATAATGTCTTAAACCCTCTATAATTTCCTAATAGACATAATCCCTTCGAACTCATGTGGATTTACTACGACACATTCTAATGCAAAGGTACGAGATGTAACATCCATTTTACAGTGATTTGAAATATTTTTTTGATGGTTGTATTTTTTACCAACATAAAGTATTCAATTGCTTTAAGATGGTGTTGATAATGCTGATTCTATCTTTTTTTAATTATTGAACAAGTTTAAGTGAGCCAAATATGAGCATGATTTTCTATTCTCATTTTAAATGGACGGGGGTGCCCCATACACGGAGAAGAAAATAATCGATTGTAGTGAGGATTATTATTTTATTTAAAAAAAAATGTTTTTTTTTTCCTTCTCAAAAGTTATGTGTTTTAGTATAAAAATTGCAAAAAGGAAACATGACTACAAGCTTTGAAAAAGGAAAATGCATAAAATGTGATTTTGTTTCTTTTTGTTTCAAGTGACTTTTTTTCTTGTGGCTTAAGCCATTGGTTTGTTGAATCGACATACAAGAAGATTGTATTATGGGTTCGAATCCCATTTCTTCTGGTATGAAAATAAAAGGGGCGGGCCGGTCAACTCTTTCGACCGCTAGTCATCAAAAGAATGAATGACACTGGATGGGAAAAGCGATAGAAATTGATTCCTACAACGTCAGCATTCGCGAGGCCACTCTTCGCTGCCATATTTAGTAGTAGAAGAGTATATAAGATCTCTATTATGTACTCGTCAAACTAATAATTACATGATGATATATTTTTACTGGTAATTTTATCATTTTATTATAGTAATTATATATATATATATATATATGTGTGTGTAACAATTTGATGATTTAACTATAGAAAATTAACATTATTTTTCCATCATTTTTTGTTAAATATTACAGTAATTTCTTTTTTTTTTCCGGCTTTGGATTAGTAGGTACTATTTTGGCGCGAATAAGCATAATTATAAGTGTTCCCGCTACAATTTTGCTAATCGCTATTTTTGGCGGCTAAAATCCCTTACTCTTCGCTTTTACTGCAACGTTCCAATTTCCAAGTCGCCGCCATGAATTCCAGAGAAGTAGCGCTGGTTTCAGCTGCCACAGTACTCGGTGCCTTTGCTTCTGCTATAACCGTTCGCCTTTTCTTCAACCCCAAAAGGCGTTCAATTACTGATTCAGACTCGGGAGTCAACGGTTTCCACCAGAGGAAGTCATCTTCTCAGAACCCATTTGATCCTTCAAAACGCCAAGGGTTTGTCCATTTTAACTTTTATTGTATTTAAAGTTTTAAATTTATGTAATTTACTTTTATTTTCAGAAAAAAGTAAAGGAAAATGGTTATGTATGTTTAGGTATTTGTCATGGGATGATTATTTTATGGCGATTGCATTTCTATCTGCTGAACGGTCCAAGGATCCCAACAGGCAGGTACTAGTCTAATTGTGAACTGATTATTATGCTTTTTTTTATGAATTCTAAGTCATTTTGGAATTGATGAGTAGAATTATACGCCATGTGTTTGTTGAAAGTTGTGTGCTTGATGCTAAGTTGCTTAAGTCTAGTATTTGTAGAAAATAGTTTAGGGTAGGCTGCCTACATTACACCCTTTTTTTTTTAAGTTTATTGTCATTGACTTTGTCAATTAACAGATCATCATACTTAAAAGGAAGAATCTCAACTATATTCTCAAACGTAAGGAAAACGCCAAGTAGTCTTCAATTGCTGCATAAATTGAAGTTTCCTGATTTGGAAATTAGTATGTCCTACGTGAATTTATCCAGTCTTCTAGATGGAACCAAAGTAGTGATTAATAGTTCTTGCCCTTTTAACCTCACACTAAAAAGAGTTATTCAATCATGAGTATGACTGTTCCTTCCAACTGAATGAAGCTATTTATAGACAGTATCAAGTTAGGGTGTACTTGTTGGAATAACTCTTGTTCTTGGTGCTCAAGTTAAATGCTCTGAATTCTTTTTGTATGTTTTATTTCCCACATTTTACTGCTTTAGTACTACTTCAAGGTTGACTTTCTCAACTCCAGTTTCACAAGCTCCGTTGAAACTAAACACTTTCTGGTTGTTTGGCAGGTTGGAGCGTGTTTGGTGAGTCAAAATGGTGTAATACTAGGTAGGCTGTATTTGAAGGAATCACTTATTTGTCTGTTGACAGCTGAAAATGTTCCGTATCATTTAAGTTTTATTTTTGCAATTTATTTTGCAAATTATATTTGATTAGGGAGAACTACATAATACTCCTATCAATTGATTGTCTTTTGGAGTAGCTGAAAGATAGATTAACTAGCTCATTTGGTTATGTGGATCAAGGGCACATATTCAGTCACTTTGGACTTTGAGATTTTGCTATATTAACCTAAATATACTATAATATTCATTTCTTATCTCATAACCCTGATGGTAGCATGGCTGTTCTACTTATTGCATTCTAGGATTTTCTTATTTAATATGAACAGAAAAAGATGAAAATGGAAAGGTGAATACTTCAGGAGTAGGGAGGTGAAAGCTACATTCACTAAGCATAAGTGCGTTCTTAGAAATGGTGAACATTTGCAAGACACAAGTCTTCAGTTGCCTCTCGAAGTTGCTTTACTCTTCCTGCAGAGTAAATATTATTTACTACTATATGTTTTATCTCAACTTCATAACTTGAATTAGAATACATATGGCCACATTGTAACGCTGGGGAGTATATTGGTGAATTATATAAGACCCACATAAGATTTTTAATGTTGGAAGTTCACCTTTATTCTCTGGTTTGTTATCTTTCCCCATATGGCTTGTGTTTCCATCCTACTTGAATGTTTGATTAGGCTAATTGCATCATTTCTAGAATATGCACATTCAAGCAACATATTTACTGCCAATAGGTTGTTAGATTCCATCTAATTTATGCTCTGCTTTTAGCCAGGCATTGGATACAATGGGTTCCCACGTGGCTGTTCAGATGACAAGCTTCCCTGGGCAAAGGTTGGTACTGTTTGCTGAGAAATGTTCTTTGTTATCGTCAGCGTTATTCTAACTCATTCGCTACTTTGCTGAGAAATGTTCTTTGTTATTGTCAGCGTTATTCTAACTCATTCGCTACCATTTCAGCAATCTAAAAATGGAAATCCGTTGGAGACAAAGTATCCGTAAGTTATATTCTTCTCCAAAACATTTATATATGCAATTTTGTCTGACCTACATAATGTCCTTTTTAAATGTGTAATTACCAATAGCTATCTTAATTCAAGAAACAAATTTTTCTCAATCTACATTTGATGACTCTACCTCATTCAAGCTTTCCGATTCTCGCAGTTATGTTTGTCATGCTGAAGTTAATGCCATCTTGAATACAAATCATGCATCTGCTGCTGGACAGGTTAGCTTGAATCGTGACCTGTGAACTATCCATCTACTGTCCTGACAGTCCCCGTCCCCCCCCCTCTAGACGGCTTCTTTTCTTTTCAATTCTATTGGAAGTTATTTTATCTCCTGCAACTTGTGCAGTATTAACTCACAGAATGTCTTATCCGTATTATGCAGAAGCTCTATGTCACAATGTTTCCTTGCAATGAATGCGCAAAAATTATCATTCAGGTGAATTAAGCGTGATGCTTTATGACTTCAACATATCTATAGCACCCCCAGCAACATCTTCTACTATGTTGATAAAATGGAAATTTGCCTCCATCATTGGAAGTTTAAGCTTTTTCTGGATGTTCATTTCATAAATTCTGATAGAACATGCTCTTGCAAAGATTATGCGAGGGCAAAACAAATTGCTAGATTTCCATTAAGGGGAGGCTATTGAATGATTTGTTAAAGAATTTGCATATCACTTGCAAGGAAAACTGGGGGCGTCAGGATTTCACATATTTTACCTTGCAAATGGATGTAATACAGACTTTACGTAGGCGCATTTTGTTTCTTTTTCAAGATACAAAGAGTAGTTATAAAAGGATTAATAAGGATTGCAAAGTAAAAAAATAGCTATAACAAGAATCTTTTCGTATTTTCTGATATTGACTTCTGTGCACCGGAACTAGGATGTTCGATTAATTATGCATTTCTGCTTCTTGCACCTTCCCTTTTTGGCTTTCCAGTAATGTATACTTCACAAATGTTTGTATTGCAGTCTGGTGTTTCAGAGGTAATTTATTTTGTGGAGAAGAGGTTGGACGGTTCTGACGCAACGTATGTTGCTTCCCACAAACTTTTGTCAATGGCAGGCATAAAAGTAAGTCATTTTATTAGTGTCAATTTCTGAGAAATGTTTACTTTCCTCAATAAGGGAAAACGATTTCTTTTCACGACTTATAATCTTTGGTGAAAAAAAAGGGAGCACCATTTATTAGCTATTTTGATTTGTGAACTTCAAACCTTGATTTATAGGTAAGGAGGCATCAACCACAAATGAAAGAGATCTCGATCAAGTTTGAAGAGCTATAGACGGTCCTGATGATGCGCGCTTCTCTAAGACTTTGTGTGTCTATGCAGCTCTTTCTCTCTTTGTTAAAAGATCGACTGGATTGATTGCATATTTGTTAATGCTGCTAAGATGGCTGAGGATTCTCAACTTACCATGTAGGGTGTTCAACTCTTGAGATGTGTACCAATGTTTGTATATCTGCGTTAAAGCTGAAACTTCATACTATTCCCTAAAGCACCTTCATTCGTTATTGTAAAGAAGCTGAGTTAACTTACCATTACGCAGTTATATGTGCTTTAGTTCCTGAGTGAATTGCCTTTATATGTAGAGAATAAGTATCACAATACGTCGATCTGTATTCATTTTATTACTAGTTTAAAACAGAAAAACATGCTTATGTAGAGATCCACTTGTAACCAGATTCTCCAATGTCTATGGATTGGGACAATTCATACCTGGCTAAGCCTGTAGCAAATAGGGAATCGGCCTTCATTTGGTAAAACCTGGTATTCGATGGGCACTTTTCAACGTTTTCAATTAACAAAACATGTGGGGATAAAAGAAAGAATACTCGAACATTGTTTAATATGTCTTCATTAATTTAACACCTTCCGGGGTTCTAAATTGGAAGAAACGAGATGGTAACGACATTTGATTAGCCTCTTTAGTAATACAACGGTAACCCCATCTCTGTCAGCAAGTTGTTGCAGTATAAGACTAGTTTGACTTTTACATGTCTTCAATCCCGCCGCATGAATAGGAACAAACTCTCACTGTCCATTCATTTAAACAATCAGCATTAAGAGCATTAAAAATGCCTCCAAATCCCAAGACTATCAAGCTTAATGGTCTCTGAAGCAAGGAAATTTTACACAAGTATCATGCAATTTAGAACATGTGTCTCTTTATATTTCAGTAATCTAATCTGCGTTAAGGGCCTCAAGTTGCCTTCTGAGTTCTTCAAGGTCATCCGCCGGACCAACAATCTCTGTAATAGCTGGTTTTGTGTATTCATCAGCTACTGGCAGCTCATGAACAATACCTTCAGGAAGGACACCTACAAGAAAAATAAATAATACATTCAGGTTAAAGTATAAATACTAAGTATGATATGATATTTTCAGATTATTCAACCATTAGTTCTTTCTCTTTACATTTTAAGTTGTTACCTAAAATACGATGCATCACATAAAGTATAATTTTAGGAAGAAACGGTCGTAATGAAAACTGGAATATTCCCTTCCTCTAGTCGTTTTAACATAATTCCATGAACTAGTGATCAATTCCAATTACTTGTTTAAATGCCAAGTGACCTCCTAGAAGTCATTCTCGATTGTGTAAAGAATTGTTCCAAGTTTATTGCTCGGTAAAAGCCAGAGCATTACATATATATGAACAGTCTTCCACCTGTATAAACTAGAGACATACCCTATAACGCTAAACACAAGAAAGAGAGAGATTGTCCTAGTATGATCTGGTAGCATTGTCGAACAAAGAATTATATGCACTTTTTGTAGTGAACTCACATCAAAAGTTTGAAGGGCAATCTTTTCAACAAAGCTTTATTGATTTGTAAGTTTACTCTATAGCTTCACAAGGCCCCTCTTACGGTACGTAAGATTGTACTCATCTTTCCATGTGGCTGACATTGGATTCTTGAGGGAAAAAAAGATAGGTGCATTTCCAAGATAAAATAATATCCTAGACTAGAGTAGAGTATGTGTTGCGATCTCTCAATGCATCTTACTACAAATGTGTGTGTGTATACATATATGATAAGGTAAGATTTTATTAGTATGCAGTATCAAGAAAATACTGCAGAAGAGGAAAACAACAGAGCAGTATCAATGCATCTTACTATATTAATGCAGGACACTTAAAGTTTAAGGCAGTCGGCATGCCTATCCTAATCAATAGCAGAACAAACTGTATTTTCCTTTTCCCCTATATCCTTTCAACTTTCATTCTCCTGTCTTAGCTCTTTTACCTTTGAACTTTCCAAATTTCATGTTATTTCATTCTTTAGCTTGATGCTTCTCAGTCTTAGCACTTCAGATGTTTAGATGGAAAGCAATGGATTTCACAAGTAAAGGTTAATCACAACATCTTTGGCTAAAGAAACTTTTGTACTTTGAGCAACACGGGCTTCATTTTTGAGTTATGAATTATGATCCATTGAAGAATTTGAGTTAGCAGATAATGAATGCACAAGCAAATTGAGGCTACAAAAGCAAAATATGTTTATCAGTGTGACTGAAAACCTGAATGTCTACTGACAGCACCATCCACTTCATTGTCATCAACAACGCTGAAAGATCAGAAGATAGCAACAAAAACAATTAGTTGAACAACAATAAGATCAGCAAGAGTTATTAGAACCCATCACTCACATTAGACTCAACAAAGCTGTCCAAGTGCTTTTTACCAATATGAGGTATGTGAGGATGTAGTTGTCTGTAAGCTTACCTTGTGTTTTTTCTTTCTTTCTAAATTTGCGTTAGTATCGAAACTTACCTTATGTTCCATTCATTATCTGCATGAACAGGGTTTTCTGGTGCTGATAATGCTTCCTTGTCCGCCTTTACTTTAGCAGCAGCATCCCTGCTAGGTTTTGCAAGAATGTATTCCTTCTGCAGAGTAGTAAAAAACATCATAAAATGTCAAACTTCAATTGAATATCAAAGACAAATGCCTCTTCATTTGTAAGACCATGGCCACTATACCTGCCGTTCCAAACAAGCAACATTTGAACATTGTGTATTTGGCTTCATCTCCATCGTTGGAAAATAATCTTTGAGGGCATTGTACCCCTATAACAAGCAACAAGAAAAAAAATCAAAAAATCAAAACTGTTGAGCTACACTTAATTTCTCTCTACACCTTGTCCTCCTTTAAGAGGAGGCAAGTTTACTCCTTTGTGAATTTGAGAGACTGGAACTAAGAACTCGAGTATATACTGGTCTGCCATATCCTCTGAATATATGATCAGTTATTTGTTAAGAACGAATGTACAGTAAGAGGGGATGATCGAAAAAGTCCTCCGTACTTCAAAGGCTTGAAGGAACTCAAGTCAACATTTTGACTAAAAAATATCCAAGAAAGAACTTAAGTATGATTAACATTCTCCCACATTTATCGTGGAGCCTTAAAGGGAGAGAAGGGGGAAAGGGAGAGAGAGAGATTGCAAGCTTTACCAGATATGGTGACACCTGTCCAAACTTCAACAAGTATTTCAATGTGTTTTGAACTAAAAGTCCAGCTACCACTCCCTATCAAAGATAGATAGAATGTTAATTTACCAAATCATGTAGCAAATATATAATACAACTTCAGTCAAAGCAATAAACAGGACTCTAGTAGTGTTGCTGGAAAAAAAGAAGTTAATATTATTCTTCCAAAGCATGTGGGAGCATAAACATGAGAAAAGCTGCCAAATTAACAGCAAATGGGGCTATAAGGAGAAAGAGAACAATTTAAAGATGAAGAAGCAAACATCAATCACAACTAGAACTTGTCATGCGTAAAACTAAATAAAGAGAGAACGGGAACAGCAAAACAATTGGGGGAGTAAGGTTTTTCATACCATTGTAGTAGGTAGAGAGGCAGCACAAACCCCTTCACGCTTTAGGGTCCGTTCATCGATTCCAGATGCTACAACCTAAAAGCACAAGTATTCCATTACAGTGATTTACTTGCAAGCAAACTTAGCTGGAGTTCATACAGAAAACTGAAATTTGGCAGAACAAAATAATTTTTAGCTATAAGATAGCCTTTTTTAACTTTTATTTCTCTGACTTTAGCAATCTTAAAGGACTGTTACAGAAATCAAGAGTCTCACTTCAAGTAGAGATTGGTTATCCGTAATTGAAGTCATTAGGGGAAACTTCAATAACTAAACATACCAGAGGAGGTACACATGCAAAGCAAGCACTTTCACCAGGAATCAACAATTGTATGTGACCTGAGACAGCATCTTCAGATACACCTGTCACAAAGTTTAACATGAGTTCCAAATTATCCAGAATGTATTTCCCTATCGTTTGATAAAAACTTTTGGTTTGCTATATGAAAATAAAAAGCTGCACATAAATTCCTTTAGTGGAATCCATACAAGAAAATTACAACCGATGACGATCACATCCAGATTCTTACAAATGCAGACATGTACGTACAACACATTTTCATAGAAGCTTGTAATATTATAAAGTCGGAATACATTTGTCGGGTGTTAATACAACTAACTGTTTTTCAGCATTTAATGATATAAAGAGGTTGTAGAAATTCAAAATTTTATTTGGCTAAAAGTTCCAGTGATACATTAAGAAAAGAAGCAACAAAGAAAGATCGGGCTCCTCTTCCACTAAATTAAACGAGCTAAGTTTGTGCATTACCAAAGTTCAGTTTTTCACCAGTTCATTTACAATTTCTTATACAGCCAGTATTTTAACACTGGAAAATTTTCAAAATATCTCTTTTAGATGAAGGCTATCTTATAACCAAATAAGGGTAGTGCTTGGCCACATAGAAGAGTTTCCTGACACATATGAAAGAAAGAAAAAAGAAGAATATGAAATTTCAGCCACTTACCAGATTCCATCCATGTCTGGTTTAATTCATTGCAGGCCTGCATTATGACGAAGTACATAGCAGGTAAGCTACCAAATAATGAACAACCTAATACCTAATATCTAGTAAACTTGTTCTTATACAGATTAAAGAAGTTCTTGCAAAAAGAACCTATTTCAAATTACTTTCAAAAAGAGGACACTAGAGCATACAAAAGCACACACTAGCCATTAATTAAATTTTAGATAGCAGATATTTGCTCGTACCTGATTTACTACCATTCTTGCTTCATAATTATCTACACAGCTCAAAACGAGGTCAATCCCACTGCCACTCTTAGTTGGGCGGAATGACTTATTTGTAAGACTTGACATAAATGTGTCAAAACCTTCCACTGTTGTGATATTCAACGTGTAGCTCTAAAAAAATAAACCAATTAATTAAGAATAAGGATTCTATGGAGAATATAAAGATAAGAATTGAAGGATGCAGGACATATTCTTGAGTAAAACTGCAAAACTACATCAACAAAGAAATGTCACAAGCAACCCACTCTACCTTAATAATTTAACAGTTCAAACAGGACAAACTTTCAAAAAACTTTTGGGATGGGCATCAACACTCATGCAGTATGTAAAGGAGAAACAACACCAAATCTTCAACTGGAAGCAACATAAGCCGGTAAGACATGCACTTGACATGGCCCAGAGAGGGAAAGGAAAGGGAAGGGACCTAAAAGTACGACCTGTTAACTTCTTTCGATGCTTCAAGTTTTAGGTGCAGAATAGGGTCATCTTTTAATCCATAAAAAATAGTCTGGATCAATTATTTTCTAGCACAGTCCATTGAAGAAAAGCTTATATACAACCAGGTCCCAGGGACCAGTTCAGAAACATGAAGAAGTCAATACCACTCTCACGACCTAAGCACTGTGAAGTGATCACACTCACAACCTATTTATACACTTAGCAGACGAACAATAGGCATTATTGTCAACTGACTTGAAATAGAACTGATGCTTAAACTAATAGATAAATAGGAAAAAAAATATTGAAAGGAAGTTGGACATGAGACAGAACTCTAAGCACCCTAGTTTCTTTGGATCTCACCTCAAGTGATGAAAAATTAGTTCAAAATAAATCAGAACATTTAAGAGTGATTGTTGACGTTCTACACTAAAGTAACAGTTAATAATCACAAAAAGAGCACTTTTTTTCTTCCAATCGTATTTTAAAGAATAGAGTGGAAAGAAGAAACAATTATTATAGATTTATTTAATTTCTGATTATGGTGAAAAAGCACCCAATTAAATTTCTCCTTTAAGCGAGGTTGAGCAGGAGAGCCATCAGCACTTGTTCTTCAAGTGTAACATCTCAGCTTGTATTTGGTTGAAGATTCTGAAGTGGTTAGGCCTTAGCAGGTATGGGCAACCATGGGAAGAGGAGCTAGAATGGCAAGGAATCAGGCAAACGGGAAGAGCTCACAAGCAGAGGTTTATAGAATGAGTTTGGCTGGGACTGTATATCGCATATGGCGTGAAAGGAACTACAGAATCTTCCAGCAGAAAAAGAGAACCTGTGAAGCAATAACTAAATTGATCATCCAGGAAGTTCACCGTCGAGGAAGCAAGATGCCAAGATGGTCAAAGCTACTGCAGAATTTAAATCCTAGATTCATAGCTTTGTATTGAATCGGTGTTCAGGTTGATAGGGAGATAGGACTAGTGTGGATCTGTTACATTAGATTATAGCTGGGACTTATGTCTAGATATAGGGATTTGTTATACTTCTAAATATTTCCCTGGTAATAAAAGTTTACTACAGTTACCAAAAAGAAAATTCTCCTTTATGACAAAGCCCTAAGTAGCAAAGTGCAAACAATCCTACCTCAAGCACAACATCAGGATTTATCTCTGAAAGAGTTTGTACAGCAGCATCTGTCTTTGTCATACCAACCTGGAAGTGACATTAGAATTGTATGATAAAATGTCAGAGGATTGTTCTCTATAGCTGAAATAAAGGATACTAGCTTATTACGTTAGGAAAATGTAAAAAATCTTTGGCACAACAAAACATACTATTCCCTCCGTTTCAATTTATGTGAACCTATTTGACTTTAAGAAAAAAGAAAAGACTTTTGAACTTGTGTAAAATGAGGCACAAATATTTTGTGTAGCTATAAGTCATTGCATAAAGGTAAATTGTTTCCAAATATGGAAATGGGTCATTCTTTTTGGCATGGACTAAAAAAGAAAGGCTAACATAAGTTGAAACGGAGGGAGTATTAGCATTGAAAAGTTATAACTCATTAGCTACTAAATATGTACACAAGGGAAATGGAAATGAGAATATTTTCTAGAAACACCTGCTCTGGGCGAAAAAATAGCCTATTCATATTAGCTAACTCCACTTTGTCATAATCATACAACAAAAGACGACCTATGCCACACCTTGTTAGCATCTCAGCAGCAACACTGCCAACACCACCTATGCCCTGTCACGAAGAAATTGCAAAATCATGAGCATTTAAATATCAAAGACTAGCACATGCATTCTATACGAGTCTAAAGTAAAACATCGAAGACTCAAATACATATTCAAAAAGTTCAGTCTAAATAATTATTCTGACAGCTTAATCGACATACTAAAGATTTTGCAGTTCCTAGGCCTTAACCAGGGTCTAAGCCCTTTTAGACACCAACATATGGCCAGTAAAATAAATCCCACAGATAGCTTAAGAAAGTCCACAAGCTTAATACTAAGATTGGCGTCACTATAGCTAATGTATGATGAAATAAAAGACGATACTTTTATAAGTAAAAAGAAAACGTTATCTTAAGTGTAAAGCACAAAAATCATGAACATATTATTTTACATACATCTTAGACCTTGACAAGAAACTGATACAATCTAGATAGCCATCAAGCACTTTGGATTCTAATTGGAGGCTACTTTCATAACGGGGCGAGCTACATGTGCAATTTGGCCAACAATTAAAGATTACATTATATTTGGTGGCTATACTCTTAATGCTTAGCTCCCTGGTATAAATAGCCCTTAAGGCTCTCATTTTTAGACTTAGCTTATTTTGATATTGAGATTATGAACTCCTTGAGTGAGTATTATGGATGAATTCCATTGTTGCTTGAAAACCTTTAAGGTAGCTTTTATGGGGTTCTTCCCCTTAAGGGTTATCCTATAGCTTAGGGTTGAATAGGATTTTAATTGAAGGGTATTTGTGTTTGATTTCAAGTGTTCTTCAATTTCCCTAATTAGTTCTTTGCTAAATTCTATCTTTCGAGCCTTTTATTTGTGTTCTTATTATTATTGCTTCCGCTTTCGTATCAGAAACACTAAGCAAGATGAATCTCACATTCATAGCATAGTCGGAAATCATGAAACATGCAAAACAATATTGGAAAGTAAAAATGCAATTTTATAGTAACAAAACAAATACACAATTTAACACAATGAAAGGAGATAAAGTACAGACAACTATGGCAACTGAGAATTCTCGTATCCTTTCGTAATTCTCCACAATACCCATCCTCTGAAGTGCCATAAGCCTGCTATATGGATTGCTGTCAACAACCTCAGCACTCATGTCCTGCCACCATCACAATCATGTAATTATTTGACTAAAGTTCTTAGTTAATTCTGATGACAATATGGCATGAAGGACTATATACACTAACCTTGACTTTTGACCGGCGAGTAGGTCCTGAATTCTCAAGGGTAGCGATGTTTTCAGCATGCAAATGCATCTAGAAATAGGACCAAAGAGAGAATAGTATTTATCAAAATCTCATGACTGGACATAAGAAAAAAAGATTGAAGGTTAATGACATTTAAAAGATATGGCGAATAGTTGATTCTTTTAATCTACAGTAAATTTTTAAAGTTTCATTGTTGGGGAAGTAAGACAGAATGGATCTGAAAGACCAATATCCTGCTCAATTATATTTCTTCGTTAAATTACAATGTTCAATTTTGAGGATATCCAAAGGGCAATTAAGCATATGAAGTAAACCTGGAGAACTCCTATATAACATAAGACATAAACCAAAGCCACATTTTCCTTCGGAATAAGATATAGAGAAGGCTAGAACTCGAATGCATTTATAAATTTTTTTGATACAAATTGTGGTTCTGCATTCTGGGAGGATGAAACTGCAATGTTTAATGCAGGAATTTGGCGACAAATCTGAAACACAGCCAAACACTAGAATTGCATGTAATTCTGATAAACCGCCAATTTAATGCATCAAAAGAATAGCTGAACGAGTCATATTTGACCTAGACAACTATGCAAAATCTAAACTGTGAATGTTAAAAGTAGATCCCGATGATTTGACCTAACATTGGTGTTTAAGCATTGACTATTGAAGAATTTGTGACGCCGTGGAACTGAGGCAATTTAGATTGTAATAAAATAATACACAAACGTTTAATTAACTGATCATAGACGCAGATTTCATGTATAAGAGAATGTTTGTTCTCAAAAGGGAATATACATGGATACGTGAAAGTACCTTGTCGATTAGAGCAAGATGGGAAGGATCTGAGAGCGATTTCTTAAGAGATTGGAGATCATTCAGCAATTCTTTGAGCTCCACCTCCATGATTTTCACCGATTTGACGAGTAGCCTTTGCTGTTTTTGTAAGCGAATCTGTGAATATTATTGTAATCTTAATCAAATTTAAACGTAACTGCTAAACCTGCTCAAAGACAATAGCTACTGTCAGTCCTCACGGTTACGGATGTCACGTCATATATATCCCAATTCGATCATATCGAATTTCCTATCCTTCTTCGGAAAGGAAATCAAAGCTTTTCTGTTTTATTTATTTCGTCTTAACTTTTAAAAGAAAAGAATAATTACACATTCCTCCATTTATGTTTTGACTTGTTACACATACTTTAACTTTAGTTTCAAATATTACACAAAGCTCTACTTTCATTATTTATATTAAATTTATATTGTAAATCTAATTGGAGAACTTTGGATTAACGATAAAGTTATATTTTTATTCTTGCTCGAGCTGGATGATTAAAAATTATTGTATTGGTCAAAATCAATATTTTAAAAGGCGGAGGCGTGAGGTGAGGCGTAAGCCTTGAGACATGGGGCGCAAGTCCTACGGATCTTTAAATTTTACTAATTTCAAGTATTTTAAGATAGTATAAAATAAAAAATAAGTATAAAAACTACATTAAAATCATAAAATTATAACAAATAAGCTATTTAAAATATTTTATAAATTATAATTTAACTATGATAATGCGAAAAATATGACATATATATATATATATATNCTCGTTTATTTTTAAATTTCAACAAGTTAATAAAGTAACACATAATTCACCATACAATACCATGATAACTAATTATTTGTAAATAGTTACTAGCTAATACTGAGCTACTAAGTTAATAAGTATTGTATCTCGTAAACGTAGAAAAAATAATATTTTGAAAAAAAATTATAAAAACATTATGGACTATTATATAGTAAAGACATAACAAAAGTTAATAAATACATACTTTTTAAATGATAGATTTATTTAAAATTAACTGTCATAGCAGTTTTAGTAGATAACGTGCAATAATTTTTATTTTAATTATGACATAAAATACTCTCAACTCAATGATTTATGATTAAGAAAAAAGTAATTTTGAATAGTCAACGATTTATTAAGAACATTTGAGGATTTACAAGGTTAGTTACATACAATTGCATAAAGTTCTATTATGCGAGCCCTTCCCGGGGCGTAAGCCCCGATGGCTGAGGCGTAAGTCTCATGAAACTAAGCCCCACACATAAGCCCAGGGGCATTTTACGAGTGCTCCGCCCCCGGGCGAGTCCCAATTTTGCCTTTTAAAATAGAGGTCAAAATTTGGTAACTCGGTAATTGTAGATAAGTTATATCAATGATGGGTCGACCACGACATTATGACGAAGGGTCGTCCTCAGAAGGATCACTGCCGAGGACGAGCAACTGGAGTTATAATTATAATGGTAGAACGGGCTTAGAAAATGACACCAGGAATATTCCCTTGGATATTCCTTGCATTGTACTTTTTTGGGGTTTTTGGGAATATCCTTTATAAATAGGAAGAGATAAAGAACAAAGAGGGGATCTTCACTTTTCGATAAAAGCACATTGCAAAGGTTGTCTAAAAAAGAATATACAAAAATTGTCTTGTTCACTAATTACATTATTCAAGTACACGTTGTTCAATCTTTGTTCACAAGATCCAAAAATTTCATATCCATCTTTACTTCTTATCCTTCCACATCGCTGACAGGAGAAAGGAACATCCCAATCATATAATAATTGGGTGGTAGATCCTTCTTATTACATTTATTGCCATTATCTATATTTATTGCATGTTCACATTACCATATTCATTACTAATCATTGAATATTAAATCCGTTATTTAATACTCCCAGACACTATTCATCTTGCAAATATCCTACTATATTCAATCTAGAGTTTATTAAATTTAACTAAGATTCACTCTTTACTTTATTATTAATTGGTTTAACAAAAGGTTTAGTACTTTTTGGTCAAATAATTTGGCACCATCTGTGGAGAGATTTTAATTGAAATTTTAGTTCCTTCTAGATCATAAAAAAGGACAGCCATCTTTTCCTCGTTTGCACAAACTAACAATGGCAAGAAAAAGGAGATGCCAGACAGAAAGCAATAACAGGTGTCACTACCAATATTTTGAACACTATTAACGAGGATGCCAGAGAAGACAATGAGAATGTGACACCAAGCGCTACACCCAGACGGCGTGATTCACCCCCCCTTATGAAAGTGTAACCGCTTCACGTGAAAGGGGAGCTTTCACATCTACAGCTGAGGAAGCACCACCAGCAGTGAAAAAATTACCGGAAGAGTGACTGACAAGTACTCTAAACAACATACTCGACAAACTCGTTTAAAGGTAGAATAGAAACACCGCGCAAGCAGATATCACAGCGACCACCGGCGAACAACTCGCCCCCAAACAGGTAACACTTACACCACTGTTGATGCAGGTAATGACGCACTTGCAGCCATTTTAAAGAAAATGGAAGAAATGAAAAACGAGAACAAAGCACTCCGCGATCAGATGAGGGAACATCAAGAAAGGATTGATAAGATACCGGGCGCACCAAAGCTTCTACCAAAACGAGATGTTGGGTGATTCGTCGAACAACCATATAGCAAAGAGGTGGCTCTACATGCCATACCCAAGACCTTCAAAATGCCACCGTATTTGAAGATATACGATGGTACTACAGACCCCGAAGATCACATCATTCATTACGTCACAACGGTGAAAGATAACGACCTTTCAAAGGAGCAAGTACCATCAGTGTTATTGAAAAAGTTCGGAGAGACCCTAACAGGGGGAGCCTTAACCTGGTATTCACAATTACCGGTACGGTCAATAACAACGTTCGAAGAAATGGCCGACAAGTTCGTCACCGCCCACGCCGGGGCTAAAAAGGCGGTCGCCAGGATGAATGATATATTCGCCGTTAGGCAATCGCCTGGCGAGGGACTCAGGGACTTCCTCCCCCGATTTAACAGAGTAAGAATGAGCCTACCAAATGTATCAGAAGGGATGGCGATGGCAGCTTTCCAAAATGGGTTGAACAGGAATGGGTCGAGAGCAATTAGAAAGTTATTAAGTAGGCTCATGAAATACCCTCCAACCACTTGTGTTGGCCCAAGTAAAGGTGAGTTTTGAAGACTGACAAAAGAACTCAGACATGGACTAGGTTCATCCTAGTGAACTACAGATATGGTCAACTCAAGCATGTGAGATGCACGCAAAGGAGATAAACCTCACTTACCAGAAATGATATCTCCTGATCCTGATTGAAAAGGTTGCATATTGGATAATGAGAAAGACTTCTTACACAAAAAGAACACGGTTTAAGAAATGGATAGAGTTAGAGGATGAGACCAACTGGAACTCTTCCACCAAGGAAGAGTAGCATAAGTATTCTAGTCAATCTCTACTTACTAACTCCATAAATACTAGTGTTGTTCTCTTTTACAGGTAACGTACATAAGCATAAGTTAAACGTGAATTGAGAGCAAAATAACCAGGCAATTTTGCAAGCAATTTATGTGTGATTCAAGTGTGCAAACTTGAAGCTACTTGAACCAGATAGAAGAACCAATTCCCAGTGTCTGTCTTTTATTCTAGTTCAATTGTAGTAGGTGATTTTATATTGTACCTTTTAGCATTATCTAGAAGCAATTGTATTAGGTACTCATAGTGTTTCAAGTTAGAGTTAACTTGAAGTTGTTGCAACAATTGAGGCTGTGTGCTACAACGGGATTAGAGTTAGTCCTAAGTTTACAAAAGAGTTTTTGTAAATGCAGTTTTTGGCTCAGTGATTTTAGTAGAGAGTTTGGAAAAATCCTACTGGAAAGTAGGTCGTGGTTTTTTCACCTTTTGAGCCAGGTGCTTTCCACGTAAAATTTCTCTGTTCTTTAATTTCTGTATTTATAATTCTGCAACAGTAGTAGTTGGAACACATATAAGAACCAGGTCCTTCTATAATCAGATTAAATGAAAAATTGGGCACTACACAAATCACTCCCTCTTTTGTGGTATTGAAGTCTAAAACATCAATTGGTATTAGAGCAGGTTATCCTTGAAGAGGCTAACACCTTAGGAACATATAAAGATGAGTGCACCACCTGAAAACTGGGAAGGACAATCCACTACTAGGCTTGCCCTCTTCAATGGCCAGTACTACTCCCGGTAGAAATATAGGATGAGAGATCACATCATAGGTGAAGACTATGAGCTATGGGACATTGTCACTGATGGTCCCCTAGCTACCACGAAGAAGATTGCTGAGGGAGTAGAAGTGCCAAAAACTAGAGCTGACTGCACGACTGAAGACTTGAAAAAATGGGAAAAGAATGCTAAGGCCAAGAAATGGCTTGTGTGTGGACTTGGTCCAGACGAATACAACAGAATTCAAAGATGTACTACTACTAAGGAAATTTGGGATACTTACGAAGGAACTCCTCAAGTGAAGAGATCAAGAGGAACACTAATGTACTCTCAATATGAGAATTTCACCATGAAAGAAGGAGAAACCATCCAAGAGATGTACATGAGGTTCACAACACTAACAAATGAACTTAAGTCTCTTGGAATGATTATCCTTGAAGAAGATAAGGTTGAGAAAATTTTGACAAGGGTCTTGCCAGTTACTTAGGAAAACAAAATCACTGCTATCCAGGAATCGAAGAACATTACCACTCTCAAGTTGGATGAACTAATTGAAAATCTCAATGCCTACGAACTTAGAAGGCAAACCATGAAGATGGATGTTCCCAAGAAGGAAAGAAGCCTGGCTCTCAGAATCTCTGAAGGTGAAGATCTAGAGGAGGATGAAATGGCTATGATCACGAGGGATTTCAAGAAGTATCTAATGAGAGGAAAGGGTTCTTCAAGAGGGGCAACCTACAACATACCAAGGGTCCCTGAAAAACAAACCAACGAGGGCTGTTTCAAATGTGGTAAGACTCACCACATGATCAAAAACAGTCCTCAATGGGAAATTGAATGAAAGAAGGAAAGGGCTGAACGAAGAAATAGGAAGAAGGAACAGGTTCATCCCAAGAAGAACAAAGGATTAACAAAGGCTATGGTTGCTGCTTGGGGAGAAAGCTCAGATGAGGATTCAGAAGATGAAGATGGAGATGATCAAGCACTTATGGAAATTGGAGAATCCGATGAGGAATGTGAGGTAAGTATAATTCATCTCAAAGACAAGATCAAATTTTTGTCTAAA